AATGTTCCATATACAAACATAGAAAGAATAAAACAAAGTATTTGTAGAACACCTGAAGAGAAATCACCAAATGTTCCGTACAGAAACAGAGGGAGAAGTAAACATAGTACTTTTTAAATACCCATTTTTCCAGTAAAGGAGGCTCTTTATATGTTGTGCAACAATGGGCGTTAGCAATGTAATCAGCTCATGAAGCACTGAAATAGTAATTGTTAGTAAATTTTTTTTTTTTTTTTTTGCTTAAGAGAACATAATACTTCTATAATACTTCTAAAGCTTCAAATTGTCAGTAACCTTCGATATTTAATTATTTTACATACAAAAATGACCGTTAGACATCTGATTAAATCCCTTGATTCAAGATATGTTTTCAAATTAACTTTCATCAATGCATAGGATTAATGACAGATGTGACCGCATAATGCCTACTACCGGTCACGGTAGCCTAGTGGTAGAGCGTTCACTTCGTGATCGGGAGGCCCGGGTTCGATTCGCGTTCGCGGCGCCGCGTCAAAACCTAAGAAGTAAAAATAGGTAGCGACTGTTTCTTCGCCAAGCGCTCGGCATCAGAAGTGAAAGTCACGGGTCTTTCGGATATGACCTTAAAAACGTAGGTCCCGTGTCACGGTAGGCGCTGGCACGATAAAAAAACCCTCACTGCTCAGTGACCTTTAGTGCCTAGTTTAGGTCTAAATTTGAAGCCCTTCATCGGCATGCTGTGACGTCTCTGTATGAATGAAAAATTTTCGAATGGGGCGTTAAACAATATACAATACACACAATCCATCTAATTGAGAAGAGAATTGCTTGTACTGCGCAGCACAGGACGCTTGCAGTTTAAGCAATATTCCTTGGTGACATTTAGGAAAATGTGTCCACATTAAAAGATAAAAGAAGAAATCTTGGTTTGTTCTACTATAAAGATATATGCCTACCAATGAGTATATTATTATGAAGAGACTGAAGAGTAATATTATTATTATTTGGGACACGTTAAGGACTTTCTGGATGATTTAATACCTATTAAGTTAATTGGAAAGGAGAGACATTTACTTGCTTTCATAAAAGAAACGTAAACTTAGTCCATGGACAATTATCACGATTCTTCATGTAATTATTAATATGCATGTCCTTATCAAGTCATTTAATGAAAAATGATGAAGCTTGTACTATAAATACCTGAACACAAATTATTTAATTCTTTATTGAATAACTTTCAGCCATGCGGCTCATCAGTATATAAACAAAAATAAATATAAAGATCGAGTGGCGAGAGTCTGCGGGGAATTGGAACCCCTAGTGTCCATCTGCTTGACTCAAAAAAAAAAAGAAACAACAACAAAAAAAAAAACCAAAAACAAATACACAAAACATTTATTTCAAATTCTATATTATTAAATGAAAAATAACTATAGTATATAATACATGTATACATATAACTTAAATTATTCATTATTTCTTAATTCCCTTGCATGGAGAATAAATTTCCCTAAACCAATAAGAACCCCGACATCATGAGAGCTGAGTAATGAGTAAACTTGTACATACCTGGAAATCTGAAATAATATGGTTTGATACCTTTTTTCATAAAGTTTCATAAATAGGACATTCAAGCAAAAAATGGTATTCATCTTCTATACAGTGATCACTACAAATTTGACATATTCTATTGCTTCTATCAATTATCTGATATCTTCCTGTTTCTACACTTAAGTTATAGGAAGAAAGCCTTATTCTTGTAATATTTTTCTTTAATTTAGAATAAATAGGTTTTGTCAAATATGTATGGATTTTGGAAAAAAAAACGTCATACACAATGTGCTTTTACAAAAGACACTTTGTTGAATTTTCCAAAAAAAAAAAGGATTACAATCTTGAAGGTTTTTATCCAACAGTCTTTCCGTGTCCAAGATATAAACTGTGTTGTATTAATAAAATCTTGATTAAACCAAAAATTTTCCCATTGTAAATAATTTATCTTAACATCCCTTGGCCAATTAATTTTAGATTGTAATTTATTTTCTGCATTGTGCAATAGATATTCATAAGTTATATTTAAAGTACGAGTTTCCTACTGTATCGGAGATACAGGGCGGGGCTTGAGGCGAGAGCGATAGCTCGAGCCGGGCCCCGCCCTGTATCTCCGATACAGTAGGAAACGAGTATTTTAAATGACTTGTGACATGACCTTTCTAATGACCTCACATATTTACATGCGTATTTGGGTACATATCACTCAACCAATCAGATGATTTTGCAGAAAGTTGATTTAGTATCACATTTTAAGCATTTGCAACTGAAATGTCGAGTGAGGTGGACGTGCAGGTATTTATCATTTGAAATAATTATTTAGGGGATGCATTATATAATTTGTTTTCCAAAAAATTAAATGTAGATTTCATTGCGTAGGATTTTTTTCTCTATTCATCTCTTGCTGACATTTTTTCAGCTTTAAGCTACGATTGAATCAATACATTTTGATACGAGGTACGTAAGAATCATGTGGAAATATTTTTGAAAAAAAAATGCTTTGGGGAAAATGTAATCTGAGAGAGGTGTCCGACATTGTCCTCCACCGGTCGTCATAAACAAAATTGAAATAAACAGATGAAATGAAGGGGAGGGGGTATTTTACCTACATGTTTTTAATAAAATGTAGTGTAAACAAAGGTGATCCCAGCACTCACTTGTGCCTTCCATCCCACCCTTTTTTCTTTTTCACCTTCGTAAATGATTTTTGATAAACTTGTGTACATTATACGCTTTTTAATTTATATATACTAGGTTACGATATCACGCACATAGTGTCTTGGTTGGTTGTAAATCTAACCTCACGAAATACGATTTTCCACTGATTATTTTTATTTTATGTCGGGAGGGGGGGGGGTTCAAAGTAATCATTTGTGATCTGCCAAACTCCCTGCTTTCTAAAATTTTTGAATCCTACACTAATAAATTCATCCTGTAAAATTTTACTCTTAATTCATCTCAAATTTTGAGTAAATGCTACCAGTTCTATCATGCGTATTGAACGATTGTTGTGTCTGTATACAGATACAGCTTTCCGTCATCGCTAAAAATAAACCGTACTGTGCATCGTTGATATTTTGCAGATACAGTACAGTTTCTGTTCATTTGCATAAGAAACGCCCTCAAAAAGTGTTCTGTATCGCAGTTACAATATGCTTGACTTCAAGAAAAACTCGCCGGGTCATGTCACAAGAAGATTTTAATATATAGTTATTTGTATGAAGTTATTTACACCAGTATTTCATTATTCTGATTTTCCTGGATATGAATTATGGATACCAACCTAATTCACGATAATCCATGTAACTACATGTAGATAATATAACTCCTAGCAAGTTTTTACAGAACATAAGATAAATGCACTCTGTTTCGGGTGATTTGTGGAAACCCCAAATTTCACCACCATAATTTAAAACAATTAATATATATGTATCAAACAACTGACAAAGTGTTTCTTCATTAAATTCAAACATTTGAATAGTTCGATTTAATCTAAAAAGTAAATTCTAATTTTATGCTATATTTATCCACTATGAATATTACTTTTAAAGACATTTTTGTATGCAAATATGAAGTGTAAAATTAACTTACACACATTGTCTGCTTCGAGGTTTCTTTATTGCTTATAACTGCCACCTTTATTATAAACAACATTTATGCGTTTCTTGGAAGAAAATCTATAATTCAGTGGTAGAAATATTGAAGAAGAAGGAACTTACTGTAATTGTCTAAAAATCTATACGTGAATACGAAAGCAACATGAAGTTGTCATTCGTTTGTCAAAATAAAATATCAGATTTGTAATGATATCTATGTCAGATCTGATAATAAACGTTCTCTAGTTTTTGTGTCTGATCATCATCATGGTCTGTTTTAATGCTTCGCTACCCTTCCAGCCCTGCCATACCGCGTATTTACCACCAGACACAGCAGAATGTGCATATTGTCCATTCATGTTTGAGTGGTGACAGGATTTGTACCACCAGGCTCCGTGATATTGTGTAGCACAGTTATCGTAACCCCTGTTGTCGTTATCCTGGTCTTTAGTGCTAAATTTCATTCCAATGTGATACTTTAAACTGTCACCTAGAACAGAGTATTGATATTGTTATAATCTATAATTTAATGAGAAAATATTCACAACATCGTTACATGTTAATATTAAGATAATATCCAGTCAAAAATGTCTTCATAATATGCAACATAAACATGTGACATCAAGCAAATTACTTGATATAAGTCAAGTGTGAGGTAAACAACACCCTTTACACAATGTAAATTAATTTTTCTATCCAGTCAAATGGGTGTTATAAGCAGAATTTAAATTTCAAACTGCGTTATGAGTAGACCTACCTGCAGTTCCTGAATACCCCGACACAGTGAGTACGTATTTATTGTATTTATCTCCAACATAAAATGTGGAGTACTGAGAATATGCTTCAGCGCCATCAAAACTTTGCAGTTCAATCCGGAGTTCCTGGTTCTTGTTCTTTGTCAACTCATAGATTGCGTCATTTCCTTAAAAAAAGTACAACAGGCAATTGACTTTATTGTAAACAATCTTTTTAATACTTATTTTATAAATGTAATGCATAATGCGATTTGTTAGTATTTTCATGTAAATAAATATTGTATTGCTAGACAATCTTGTGAGAAATTGTTAAAAAAAAAGCAGTAAGGAAAACTGAATTCTTATGGTTGTTTTTCATTATCTACAATATTAAGACTGTCATTTTCCATATTGTTTTTTATGTTTCTGTTCTTATGAAAAAACTTTAACTTTGGCAGTAACTTTTGAACCGTAAGGGATAGGGCTTTCATACTTCACATATGTAATTCTTGTAAAAGACCCTTTATTGGATACCAATAATTTTGACCTTTTGACCTTGACCTTTGAGTTTGACCTACTTTTAAAAAGCAAACCTTGACCATAGCTTTTAAAGGGTTAGGGCTAGTGCTTTCATACTTTACATATTTAAACCTTGTGACAACTTCTTTCATTTGATAGCAAGTCCTTTGACCCTTTCACCTTGACCTTGAAGTTTGACTTACTTTTAAAATGTTTAACCTTGGCCTTAACTTTTGAAGGGTTAAGGCTAGGGCTTCTATACTTCACATATGTATTTTTTGTGGCAAGACCTTTCACTGAATACCAATAACTTTGATATTTGAACTTGACCTTGGAGATTTTCAAATTTACGAAAAAAACTTTAACCCTGGCCTTCTTTCATATTTTTTATTTCAGAATTGTATTTCTAATGAGTATGCATTTAAGAAAAGTATAATCTTTGCTATGTTGCCATACGGGGGCATCAGTGTTTCACAAACATAATCGTCGGAACCGGGGGGGGGGGGGGGGGGAGGGGGGCTAGGGGGCATAATTGCTTTTCAGTTGATAAATTGATAAGTTTAAATAATCACTGTCTGCATCATTGAATATTTATACTTGTTACTAGCATAGTTGTTGCTTGCTGGGTTGATAAGTAGTACTGGATTAAATGATGAAACTCGTTGAAACTTGAATGTTTGGCACAATACAAATGTATGGGGATTAATGCTCTGTATAACTGATCAGCAGTTAATTGTATGTGTCTGTTTTATTACATATTAATTGATTTATTGGTTTGATTGATTGATTATATATTGTTTAAGGTCCCTCTCAAAAATTTTCCACTCATTTGGAGACGCCACCACTTGCCTTTGGAGAGCTGCAAAATTTGTCTTATGTTCGGCACTCAAGGTCATTGAGCAGGAAAGATCGTTTTTGTGCTAGCACCTATTGCGACACGGGACTTCGGTCATCCGAAGGACCGGTCTCCACGCCCCACAGTAGGATTCGAACCCGTGACGTAAGGATTGACTCTTGACTTCGCGACTCTACATACAGAGCAGACGTTCTAACCACTGCGCCACGCGGACGACGTTTTATTACAGAAGAATCAGAAGAATTCGACTTAACATATCAGAGCTCTACTGGCGAAGTAGCTATGGCGCCTAAAATTTTAATTAAGTCGCCAAATTGGCCACCATATTAAGTTGATTTGGTGATCGTCAAATTGCTGAACTAGAAACATTTTCATTTTTTTTAAAATAAAGAGCAGAATAGAGTACTAAAACTTAGCAATGAACATGTCTCTATAATATGTTTTAACATTTGGTGTCTAAGAAAAATTTACCTGGCGAATAATATTTGCACTGGCGACTATCTTTTTGACAACTAAATGATAGAGGTCACAGAGAGGCTTGCTTATGTTTTTTGCGGTTGAATTTATACTGATTCCAATTTAATTGCATGTGGAGAGGACACTTGACTTTTCTTTAATTTAATGTAATTTAAATTGTCCTAAAAAGTTGTTCTGGGGGTCCAAGAAAAGACTATTATTCATTGGCTTATTGTGAAAAGATTATAATTTTGGAAGTGTTTTTATGAAGAAGGTGCGTCGGGTTTACAAGCAGATAACGTCAACTATAATAGCGACTGTAACTATATATAAAGTAGACCATAAAGCCCCTTCCCCTTTTTATAAGTTCTGCATTATCAAATCTTTAATATCCTGTTTCTTAGACTTATAATTATTTATGTTGTTTTTCTGATTGGGCAATACATCTAAAAATAATTATTTTGGGTATTTTTGGTTTTGAAAGATATTTAAAAACTGTATCTGTGTAAATACTCTGAACCTATGGTAAAGTTCTACCCTCACCAGGTAAAATAATCTGTGTCACATGGTTTATTGTTTTAATATTCATCCTACACGTCGAAAGGAATTTTTTTCTTAGATTTGAAATTATTTTTAATTACGTTCTTTGTTTATAAAATTCTATGATCCATTCTCCTACTTTTTCTTGAAAAACATTTTGATTATTTTCTTATTGTAATAATAATAATAATAATAATAATAATAATACTTTATTTAAGGATATCCGATCCTCAGCCAGGAAGGATAACTCCAAAAATTCATATTTAATTTGAAATGCATCAAAATGAAGCTTGAAAATGGAAATTTTTCATGCGACAATTTTCGTTATATTCATCTTTATAAGGTTCAAGGTTTTTGGAAGTCTTAGAAAAGATATTACGAAAGTTGATATTTGTACCCTATAAAAGGAGAAAAAATAATACAGTTTAGAGAAGTAAGATTTTCCTTAATCCAGTCTTAGATACCAATGCTTATTAGCATGATATGAAATGAGAAGTATAATTGCTTTTCAGTTGATAAATTGATAAGTTTAAATAATCACTGTCTGCATCATTGAATATTTATACTTGTTACTAGCATAGTTGTTGCTTGCTGGGTTGATAAGTAGTACTGGATTAAATGATGAAACTCGTTGAAACTTGAATGTTTGGCACAATACAAATGTATGGGGATTAATGCTCTGTATAACTGATCAGCAGTTAATTGTATGTGTCTGTTTTATTACATATTAATTGATTTATTGGTTTGATTGATTGATTATATATTGTTTAAGGTCCCTCTCAAAAATTTTCCACTCATTTGGAGACGCCACCACTTGCCTTTGGAGAGCTGCAAAATTTGTCTTATGTTCGGCACTCAAGGTCATTGAGCAGGAAAGATCGTTTTTGTGCTAGCACCTATTGCGACACGGGACTTCGGTCATCCGAAGGACCGGTCTCCACGCCCCACAGTAGGATTCGAACCCGTGACGTAAGGATTGACTCTTGACTTCGCGACTCTACATACAGAGCAGACGTTCTAACCACTGCGCCACGCGGACGACGTTTTATTACAGAAGAATCAGAAGAATTCGACTTAACATATCAGAGCTCTACTGGCGAAGTAGCTATGGCGCCTAAAATTTTAATTAAGTCGCCAAATTGGCCACCATATTAAGTTGATTTGGTGATCGTCAAATTGCTGAACTAGAAACATTTTCATTTTTTTTAAAATAAAGAGCAGAATAGAGTACTAAAACTTAGCAATGGACATGTCTCTATAATATGTTTTAACATTTGGTGTCTAAGAAAAATTTACCTGGCGAATAATATTTGCACTGGCGACTATCTTTTTGACAACTAAATGATAGAGGTCACAGAGAGGCTTGCTTATGTTTTTTGCGGTTGAATTTATACTGATTCCAATTTAATTGCATGTGGAGAGGACACTTGACTTTTCTTTAATTTAATGTAATTTAAATTGTCCTAAAAAGTTGTTCTGGGGGTCCAAGAAAAGACTATTATTCATTGGCTTATTGTGAAAAGATTATAATTTTGGAAGTGTTTTTATGAAGAAGGTGCGTCGGGTTTACAAGCAGATAACGTCAACTATAATAGCGACTGTAACTATATATAAAGTAGACCATAAAGCCCCTTCCCCTTTTTATAAGTTCTGCATTATCAAATCTTTAATATCCTGTTTCTTAGACTTATAATTATTTATGTTGTTTTTCTGATTGGGCAATACATCTAAAAATAATTATTTTGGGTATTTTTGGTTTTGAAAGATATTTAAAAACTGTATCTGTGTAAATACTCTGAACCTATGGTAAAGTTCTACCCTCACCAGGTAAAATAATCTGTGTCACATGGTTTATTGTTTTAATATTCATCCTACACGTCGAAAGGAATTTTTTTCTTAGATTTGAAATTATTTTTAATTACGTTCTTTGTTTATAAAATTCTATGATCCATTCTCCTACTTTTTCTTGAAAAACATTTTGATTATTTTCTTATTGTAATAATAATAATAATAATAATAATAATAATACTTTATTTAAGGATATCCGATCCTCAGCCAGGAAGGATAACTCCAAAAATTAATATTTGACATGTTTAATTTGAAATGCATCAAAATGAAGCTTGAAAATGAATTTGTTCATGCAACAATTTTCATTTTATTCATCTTTATAAGGTTCAAGGTCTTTGGAAGTCTTAGAAAAGATATTACGAAAGTTGATATTTGTACCCTATAAAAGGAGAAAAAATAATACAGTTTAGAGAAGTAAGATTTTCCTTAATCCAGTCTTAGATACCAATGCTTATTAGCATGATATGAAATGAGAAGTATAATTGATTTTCAGTTGATAAATTGATAAGTTTAAATATTCACTGTCTGCATCATTGAATATTTATACTTGTTACTAGCATAGTTGTTGCTTGCTGGGTTGATAAATAGTACTGGATTAAATGATGAAACTCGTTGAAACTTGAATGTTTGGCACAAGACAAATGTATGGGGATTAATGCTCTGTATAACTGATCAGCAGTTAATTGTATGTGTCTGTTTTATTACATATTAATTGATTTATTGGTTTGATTGATTGATTGTATATTGTTTAACGTCCCTCTCAAAAATTTTCCACTCATTTGGAGACGCCACCACTTGCCTTTGGAGAGCTGCAAAATTTGTCTTATGTTCGGCACTCAAGGTCATTGAGCAGGAAAGATCGTTTTTGTGCTAGCACCTATTGCGACACGGGACTTCGGTCATCCGAAGGACCGGTCTCCACGCCCCACAGTAGGATTCGAACCCGTGACGTAAGGATTGACTCTTGACTTCGCGACTCTTCATACAGAGCAGACGTTCTAACCACTGCGCCACGCGGACGACGTTTTATTACAGAAGAATCAGAAGAATTCGACTTAACATATCAGGGCTCTACTGGCGAAGTAGCTATGGCGCCTAAAATTTTAATTAAGTCGCCAAATTGGACACCATATTAAGTTGATTTGGTGATCGTCAAATTGCTGAACTAGAAACATTTTCATTTTTTTTAAAATAAAGAGCAGAATAGAGTACTAAAACTTAGCAATGGACATGTCTCTATAATATGTTTTAACATTTGGTGTCTAAGAAAAATTTACCTGGCGAATAATATTTGCACTGGCGACTATCTTTTTGACAACTAAATGATAGAGGTCACAGAGAGGCTTGCTTATGTTTTTTGCGGTTGAATTTATACTGATTCCAATTTAATTGCATGTGGAGAGGACACTTGACTTTTCTTTAATTTAATGTAATTTAAATTGTCCTAAAAAGTTGTTCTGGGGGTCCAAGAAAAGACTATTATTCATTGGCTTATTGTGAAAAGATTATAATTTTGGAAGTGTTTTTATGAAGAAGGTGCGTCGGGTTTACAAGCAGATAACGTCAACTATAATAGCGACTGTAACTATATATAAAGTAGACCATAAAGCCCCTTCCCCTTTTTATAAGTTCTGCATTATCAAATCTTTAATATCCTGTTTCTTAGACTTATAATTATTTATGTTGTTTTTCTGATTGGGCAATACATCTAAAAATAATTATTTTGGGTATTTTTGGTTTTGAAAGATATTTAAAAAACTGTATCTGTGTAAATACTCTGAACCTATGGTAAAGTTCTACCCTCACCAGGTAAAATAATCTGTGTCACATGGTTTATTGTTTTAATATTCATCCTACACGTCGAAAGGAATTTTTTTCTTAGATTTGAAATTATTTTTAATTACGTTCTTTGTTTATAAAATTCTATGATCCATTCTCCTACTTTTTCTTGAAACACATTTTGATTATTTTCTTATTGTAATAATAATAATAATAATAATAATAATACTTTATTTAAGGATATCCGATCCTCAGCCAGGAAGGATAACTCCAAAAATTGATATTTAATTTGAAATGCATCAAAATGAAGCTTGAAAATGAATTTGCAACAATTTTCATTTTATTCATCTTTATAAGGTTCAAGGTCTTTGGAAGTCTTAGAAAAGATATTACGAAAGTTGATATTTGTACCCTATAAAAGGAGAAAAAATAATACAGTTTAGAGAAGTAAGATTTTCCTTAATCCAGTCTTAGATACCAATGCTTATTAGCATGATATGAAATGAGAAGTGATTTGTGGTATCTTGCAATCATAGCAAAAACCTTTTATACTATATATTCTAGAATACATGACGGAAATAGAAGACTAAAAATAGCAAATAAATACAAAATTAATGACAATTTCTCTGAATGCCTGGATACCTATCGTTTTCTAACCTAAAATTTATTTCTTGATCAATTTCCGAATAGAAAATCTATTGCTGATATTCCAATTCGCTTTTTCTGCAAAAATATTGAATATTTGACAATTTTCCCTATATAATATGATTAACTTTAATCTTTTACTTTAAAGAAATACTGTGGATAAATTTACATAACTTTGTGGATTCAGAGATACTTTTATAAGTATTTTTAGTTACTTAACTGCTAATTTTATAAACCTGAGGATCGGACTACCTTAAAGAGGGTAACCCGATTAGTGCAATGCACTAGTCTTCCTTGGGGCCCTCTAAACACATTCACAATAATACAATTATTAAAACATTGTACAATATTATAATAAATAATACAAAATGACGTGAAAATACAAGGACATATACAGATCGATTCAAGAACATGGAATTATATGACTTTTAGTTGGGACATGTTATAATGAATTTTTCTACATTTTTACGAAAAGTTTGTACAGTTGGTGAAAAACGGATATGCAAAGGTAATTTGTTCCATAAATGAACACCGGAATAATGAAAAGAATTCTTAAATTGATTTGTTCGATATTTCGGTAGATGAAGGTCATAGTTTGTTTCAGATCTAAGAACATAACTATTAGAAGAAATAAATTCAAAGGAATCTCTTAAATAAGTTGGTGCCATACCATGAAGTGTTTTGTATAGTAATATATATTTATGAAAATCATTTAACTCTTATATGGTCAGCCATCCAAGTTTTTCAAATAATGATAGTGAAGGGGCATCAAAAGCCACATCTAAAATAATCCGGGCTGCCCTTTTTTGCAATTTAAAAACTCTATCTATGCCATCTGGCGCATTACCCCATATAGTAAGACAATAATTCAAAGAAGGCAGAATGTATGCATTATAAAATAGTTTTCTCGTGTGTAAGGGAAAAAATTTTTTAATTCTGCGTAAAGTATACAATTTATAAGTCAAAGATTTACAAACTCAGTCAATATGATAATTATAGCGCAATGAATGGTCAATATGTCCCAAAAGCTTTTCAGATTCAACATTTTCAATTAATTTGTTAGAAGCATATAAATTTAGTTCAGTAGAATTTATTCTTGATTTTCTTTGTTGAGTTCCCATGAGCATACATTTTGTCTTGTTGGTATTTAACACCATTTGATTTTTGGAACACCAATTTTCTATCTCACACAAATCAAAGTTTAGGGCAATTTCAATACCTTCTATATTTTTATGATATGTATGTAAGGTTGCATCATCAGCAAACATATCAATATCTGTTCTATTTACATGTAAAGGGAGATCATTTATATACAATAAAAATAATAGGGGACCTAAGATAGATACTTGGGGCACTCCTGCTGTGACGGGCAGAAAATCAGAGGAGTATGTACCTATTTTTACACACTGAGACCTTGACGTTAAATAAGATTGAAACCATTTTATAGCCATTTGATCAAAGTGATATGATTGAAGTTTATTTATAAGGATATCATGATTAACCAAATCAAATGCCTTGCTAAAATCGATGAAAGTTATGCCTACTAAATTTCCTTGGTCCATAGCTTGTAGCCAATTATCTGTAAGTTTTGTTAGAGTCGTTTGACATGATTGAAATTATCGAAATCCAGATTTTGATTTAAGTAAGAGATCAAAACTACAGGTAAAGTTACGTATCTGATTGGCTATGTGTTTTTCAACTAATTTTGATAATGTTGGAAGAATGGATATTGGTCTGTAGTTCCCTGGATCTGCATGGTCGACATTTTTGAAAATTGGAGTGACTTTTCCTTGTTTTAAACGGGATGGAAATACTCCATTAGTGATGCTAGTATTTATAATATGTGTAATAGATTTGCATATAACATTTGCCGAAAGCTTTAGAAGACGAGGTCCAATCAAGTCTATACCTGCTGACTTGTTTACATCAAGTGTATTCAACATATTTAATACTTCGAACTCACTTATATGATTTATACTCAAAAAATTTTCTTTCCCTAGTTTAGTTTCTGTATATTTATTTAATAATTCTGAATCAAAACTTTGTACTGACATATCTGCTAATAACTTACATGATATTTCAGTAAAGTGTTTGTTAAAAATATCAACAATATCCTGTAAATCTTCGAAATCCGAACCATTTTGTGTTATACGGGTAGGTGTGAAATTTTTTGACTCAGATGCCAAATGGTTTAAAAACTTCACATCTCTTTAGGACTTGAACTTTCTTCAATTGCTGATTTGTAATACTTTGATTTGGCTTGATCTATTAATTGTGTGACTTTATTTCTCCATTTACATTTCTTTGTAATTTTCTGAATTTCTTTGTAGATGGTATGTATCACGTAAATGTCTAGCATCATTTATTTCCTGTGTAAGCCATTTAGGTCGAATTTCAGTCTTGACTCTTTTAGTTTTTACTTTGGCATACTTGTTAAGAATATCATTAAATAATTCATAAAATTTATTCATGATCTCGTTTGTGTCTTTTAGTTCGAGAAGAGAGTTAAAATTAGCATTTTCTAAATCTCTTAGAAACTTATTTTCATTGAATTGTTTAAAATCACGATATTGGATTTCGGTATGTTTTCCTCTACGCTGTATACAGTTAGTTTTCCGTGTCAAACATACGGGGTAGTGGTTAGATATAGCAATAGGGGGCACATTTGTTTCGCATATGTTTTCTGGTTTCGTTGTATAAAAATGATCAATTAAGGTACTTGATGTACTTGTTATTCTAGTAGGAACAGTAACTATTTGTGAAAGTCCAAACTTCTCTAAAGCAGATGTCCAGTATTGTGGGTGGTCTTTCATTAGATCAATAATGAAATCACCTGATAAAATTATATCAGTATCGTCACAGCAGGAGGCACGGTTCACCTCCCTTGCTAGATCCTCCGCCCAGCAGGAGGGGGCAGATGGTGAACGATAAGCAGAGCAATGAAATATAGGTTTTGAATTTTTCAGATTTATCTCTAGCCAGATTGTCTCAATATTACTGATCTCAAAATCAGTTCTACGTTTATATGTTATATCACTAGCAATATAAATAAGAATTCCACCACCTGCCTTTAATGTAGATCCTTTCTTTCAAAAACAAACCCATCAATAAACAGTTCTGAATTTCCTACTTGCTCACTAAAAAAAGTTTCACAAAATCCTAATATATCTAAAGATTGCCGATTTTGAAGCAACAGTTCAATTTCATCCATTTTAGGAATAATATGACAAATATTTAAATTTCCGAAACGTAAACCTTTCTTAATCAATCCAAATCCTGAATCTTTTGGCATTTGTGAAGTATGAATTTCGTTATTGGTTTTAAGAACTTGATTTTTTGTTTGTGAAACAGATTTGAATGAGTTTATCATAAGAGGAGTAATGTTAGTAGATTCTATAATTGAGCTTTCATCATTGAGAGAAGTTCTTACTTTGTCCAAGAGAGTCTTATTCTTAATATATGGTTTTCTAGGCAATTAAGATTTAACAGAGGTATTATAAACAAAGTTGTTAGTTTGATTTAAACAAGAACATTGAAAATCGTTACATTCAGTACATACAGTGCCTAGAATAGAATATCTATTTGAATTTAGTGTAGATTTATATTGTCGTGAACGGCTCTACATTCCTTGCCTAATACCTAATACACACAGAATTTGGTCTTGTGGCCTAGTTTCTCCGCAGTTCCAGCAATCTAGTTTTCGGCCGTGCCTGCAGTGGGATGAGGTATGTCCATGTTCACCACAGAAGTAACACGTTACAGACTGGCTAAAGATGGAATTTCCGTTGTCCCTTTGTGCTCCCTTGCCACGTAAAATCGGAACTTCGTTGTTGATCTGTTTAAGCGGTGCTGAAGTTCCCTTAATGGAAAGGTGTATCCCATCTTTCCAATATTGCATTGTTGACCTCTTTGAATACACTCTTATTGGAAATGAACAAACCTCCATACTCGTCACAAACGTATTTTAGCGTGTTATTCACATATGAAACATCTATGTCCCGTCTCGGTAAAACTTCTGAGAAATAGACTTTGGTAGTTGGCGACCGATCCTTGATGTTTTTGATGATTTCTACGGCGTCATGTTCAACAGCATCTATATGTCTAGGAGATGAGGCATCATTTTTCCCCGGCGTGGACAATTATGTGAGAGTAATCTTCAACAGCGGTTTGATGTAATTTTGACTTCATTCCGGAAAGCTTGGCCCCTCTGTTGGTTCTCACATGGACACCTTGTTGTAGTCCCCTTGTTCTCACCCTTTGTAAGAAAGAGCTGCCTATAATAAGTTTGGCCTCACCAGAAGTTTTCTTTGTTTAAAGGATCTTGCAGGTGTACTTGCAGGTGTGGGGTTGATACATGGTTCCGTGTTTGTACCCAAATCTGATGTATATATTGCTTCCTTGGCCGTAAAATCACACTGTGTGTGTCGAGATGCAGAATTTTGTGGTAAAGAGTTCAAAGCCTGCACATCAGTTTCCTTGTTTTTCACTACCTTAAAAAGTGTCTGTGTGTTTTTGTCCAACAAAGTGGGGTTGTTTTTTGCATCTGAGTTTCTCTTTTAATTCCTTTATTTCATGTGCTAACTCACGGACAGCCGATTGTAGGGCTTGTATTGTACCTGCACACTGTGTACAATTTTGAAAATTGTCAGTACTGGCTGTCAGAAGAGATCTAGAATCATTTTTCACAGGCGTTGATGACATTTGGGGAATAGATTGTCCCAACATACTACTAATGCTGTTATAGTTTTTGATGTCATGAAGAAATTTGTCCAGCCACGACTTTGCCGACGATCCTTGAATGTGCAGGACGCTGGTGCCAGAATAGAGTGTTGCTGTCACAGTGTTACACACAGACTTGAAAATCTGACCACTCTTCCCTACTTCTTTAATTGCATTAAGTTCTTCTTCCAAATAGTTCAAAATAGTGGCATATTTTTCTTGTTGAAATGATACAGTTATGCTGTATTTGTTAAAAGTCACATTCAAAAAACTTGGTATACTCACTCCATTAGGTGTAATAATTCCAGCTTCACTAAATGTTTGAGAGAGTCCAGAAAAAGATGTAAACAAGCTCGAGTTAATACTTTGATCCATAATTATTTTAAGATTTAATCAGGTATTTAGCCATAGTACCCACAAGGTTGATAGCAAAATTGATGGAAAAAAATATGTAATTAAAAGTCATTCTTTAAATTTGCAAAAGAAAATTACAAAGAATTCTTGGCTCTATAAATATGTCTATGTCCTGCAGATCTTTATTTTTTTAAAATCTGTTGCAAATGGTGATATCTATTTATTCTTTTTAATACAGTATTGTATAGCACAAATAAATGTTGTACCACGTGTCCTCGGTCGAATATTAGGCAAAAGTAGGATCTTCGAAATGATTGATCTTGAATCTCGTGCACACTTCATGATTACAGGTATCTTATGAAGCAAATTTTTGTAGGTGTATCCAAATTTAGCTGACGACTTTTTGCATCTTTTTTTTAGTTATACCCGCACTTTCGAAAGAAAGTTCGGGTATATTGTTGTTACTCATGTCCGTCCGTCCGTCCGTCCGTCCGTCTGTCACACTTTTCTTCCCTGAACTCCTCCTACATTTTTCACAGTAGCTTAATCATCCTTTGGGAGTTGCTTGGGTGTGTCATGTAGATGTGCAGTAAGGTTTCGGAATTTATATTTTGCCCCGGGGATCAAATGGGGGTCGAAAAATGACGTTTTTTATACAAAAAGCCCCTTCTTCCCTGAACTCCTTCTACATTTTACTCAGCAGCCTAATCATCTTTTGAGAGATGGTTGGTGGTGTCATGTAGATGTGCAGTAAGGTTTCGGAATTTTGATTTTGCCCCGGGGGATCAAATGGGGGTCGAAAAATGACGTTTTTTATACAAAAAGCCCCTTCTTCCCTGAACTCCTTCTACATTTTACTCAGCAGCCTAATCATCTTTTGAGAGATGGTTGGTGGTGTCATGTAGATGTGCAGTAAGGTTTCGGAATTTTGATTTTGCCCCGGGGGATCAAATGGGGGTCAAAAATGACGTTTTTATACAAAAAGCCCCTTCTTCCCTGAACTCCTTCTACATTTTACTCAGCAGCCTAATCATCTTTTGAGAGATGGTTGGTGGTGTCATGTAGATGTGCAGTAAGGTTTCGGAATTTTGATTTTGCCCCAGGGGATCAAATGGGGGTCGAAAAATGAATTTTTTAATACAAAAAGCCCCTTCTTCCCTGAACTCCTTCTACATTTTACTCAGCAGCCTAATCATCTTTTGAGAGATGGTTGGTGGTGTCATGTAGATGTGCAGTAAGGTTTCGGAATTTTGATTTTGCCCCGGGGGATCAAATGGGGGTCGAAAAATGACGTTTTTTATACAAAAAGCCCCTTCTTCCCTGAACTCCTTCTACATTTTACTCAGCAGCCTAATCATCTTTTGAGAGATGGTTGGTGGTTTCATGTAGATGTGCAGTAAGGTTTCGGAATTTTGATTTTGCCCCGGGGGATAAATGTGGGGCGAAAAAATGACCCTACAAAAAGCCCCTTCTTCCCTGAACTCCTTCTACATTTTACTCAGCAGCCTTATCATATTTTAAGAGATGGTTGGTGGTGTCATGTAGATGTGCAGTAAGGTTTCGGAATTTTCATTTTGCCCGGGGGTGGGGGGGATGGGGATCAAAATCGAGGTAGAATTTTTATATATATTTTTTTTTACATATATTTGACATGTTTAATCACCCTGCTTTCAAGAACTTCCCTAATATCTTATGCTGCAATAGCTTTAAACCATGATCATTTAGAATATGATTGGTTTGTTTTGTGTATGTGTAAAAATGGTTTCAAAATTTGAATTTTCATATGGATGGCAAAAAGGGGCTGGAATAATATGGCACCTCGAATCTACACCTCTTGAGAATATTTCCATATTAATCATGCTCTTGGTGTTCCTGAAAAGAAGAACTTTAAAGATGTGTTTCCTTTTATTCCTAAATAAAACTTTGATCCCTAATTGTGGCCTGACCCTAGCCTGAGGTGATGATTTGAAAAACTAGAAATATGTCTATAGGACATGAATGTCCCGCCAGATGTGTATTACTAATGGTACATTAAACAAGAGGCCCATGGGCCACATCGCTCACCTGAGTACTGAAGCTAAGAAAAAGTAGAAATTGGTTTATAATTGAAAAGTTAAAATCCAAAAGTAATCCCATGATCAATCATGGATTTGCTTTTCTTCAAAGAATTTTCCATATATTTCTATGTAAAACTTTGGTCGGCCATTTTGGCCCCGCCCTACCCCCTGGGGTCATGATTTGTACAAATTTTTGAATCTACACTACCTGAAGATGCTTCCATATAAATATAATGAATTATGGATTTGTCATTCTTGAGAAGAAGATTTTTAAAGAATTTTCCCATAAATTTCTATGTAAAACTTTGGTCGGCCTTTTTGGCTCTGCCCTACCCCCCAGGGTCATGATTTGAACAAACTTGAATCTTCACTACCTGAGGATGCTTCCATATAAATTTGATGAATTATGGCTTTGTCATTCTTGAGAAGAAGATTTTTAAAGAATTTTCCTATATATTTCTATGTAAAACTTTGATCAGCCATTTTGGCCCTGCCCTACCCCCGGGGGTCATGATTTGCAAAAAACTTGAATCTACACTATCTGAGGATGTTACTCCATAAGTTTCATCTTTCCTGGCACAGTGGTTCTTGAGAAGAAGATTTTTAAAGAATTTTCCAATATACATGTATTTCTATATAAAACTTTAGTCGGCCATTTTGGCCCTGCCCTACCCCCGGGGGTCATGATTTGAACACATTTGAATATTCACTACCTGAGGATGTTAACCCATAAGTTTCATCTTTCCTGGCATAGTGGTTCTTGAGAAGAAGATTTTTAAAACATGCCACTAAATTTTCATTAATTCCCAATTATCTCCCCTTGAATGAGGGCATGGCCCTTCATTTTGAAAAAACTTGAATCTCCTTCACCCAAGGATAATTTGTGGCAAGTTTGGTTGAAATTGGCCCAGTGGTTCTTGAGTAGAAGTTGAAAATATTAAAAGTTTACAGAAAGA